CAGCAATTCATTCATGCCTTTGTACAATTGCCAGCATCGCCGAGAGCCATATTCTGTAAGATGTATGGAGACGTGATTCTATTGCTGTGTATGTTCAAATGGTGTCATATGGTGTCCATACCAGTTGACATAACAGAGCTCTGGATGCCAGCCAGTGAATGTAAATGAAGGCTTGGTGCAAAATTTAGAGCAGGCCTCCTCCAGCCTACTGCCGCTCTCGTTGCTACTGTATTAAAAGACAACAAAAGAATTAGAATAATAAGAATGTGTTTGCCAGATTTGGGGTTTATTACATGATGGATGGATGCTCCAGATCCATTAGCAAATAACTGGAGGTTTTTCTGAGCAAGAAGATAAAAATGACAGCAAAGCATTAAGTTTGATGTGGAAATTTGCACTTGTCTTTAGGACTGGAATGATGCATCAATGTTATTGACTACATAAATACGGAATGTGTTAATGTGTCGAAGTGTTAAGCAACGTCGATTTGCAGTAGCATTACACTAAAGTTGGTGTAAGTGAACTTTCGCAGATAAAGAATACAAGTACATTTCCAATTACAATCAACACTGGACACTGAAGTAAATCATATGCAACACACTATACCACACTATCTACAATAATTAATGGCAGAATATAGCAAAAATAAATAAATAAATAAATCACATTTCCCCGTTAGGCCTACACTGCATACACTACCTGGACCATGGAAATATTTGAAAAAGTTACATATTGTAGGTTGACAAATTGACAAAATAATCAATAGATCAAAAAAAAAAAAGTTTGTTTTTTTTTTTAATCGCCACTTGCAACCTTATTTGTCACCAACACTAATCCTATGTTCAGCCATTGCACTGACAAGACATTTCTTTATCCACTGCAATTCATCCAGCATTCCTATTGCTACATATGCCAATACTGTATGTCAAACCCTCTGGCACCTTCATGGACTAGGAGTCACACCTATTTTCAAGGAACATTAAGTTATATTAATTGTTTGCCTATCTGCTCAAGAGTTCTCACACAGAGTTCAGAGAATATAAAACAAGAAAAGGCTCCACACACACCTGTGCACACCTCAGGAAAGCATTCATTATACATATACTGTATTTCTGTAACATATACAGTACAAACTATGCACAGCAGCAACCCTGACAATGTAAAGCCATGAGGAGCCCTGGCAGGCTGTTATCTCATCCAGGAAGATAGGACGTATGGGCAGGAAATCTAGTGGGAAGGGGGAGGAGAAGGCCCATATGGGAAATGCAGTGTAAACAGTCTTAGTTTTTAATCATCCCAGCTCACATTCAGAACTGGACTCACTTTGATGTTCTCCCTGGGCGCCCCCTCCACCCTCCCATCCCATTTTCTCAAACGGCTGTGCTGAGGGCCTGCCAGGGAAAACGTGCAAATAGTGGCCTTGGACAGTCGAGGGCTCAGGGAGAAATGGGGAGGCTTTCAGAACCTTGTGGGACATTGAAAAGGGAGATGAAAGAATGTGAAGTGGCGCAGAGTTAACTGGTATTCAGTCAACTGCCTGCCCTGCATTAATTATGGCTGATGCATTTAAGGGAGCTCTCAAAAGGTCAGTTCAACATGTCAAAGACCCAAAAAATACAGCATCAGGGAAAAAGTCAAGATAGCTTAAAATGGGTGCAGCTTTTGTGATGTCCTTTAACTGGGTGCAATGACTATTCAAAGATAAACTAAGTCCTTCTGTAAACAAAGGCCAAACACAGTTGACAGTCCTTTCAAGTTCAAAGTTACCCCAGAAGCCTTTGCACTTCTCTTCTGGTCACTGTGCAAGATTCATTTTGGAAAGGGGAGAGAGAGTCAAAATTCCTCAGCACATGTACTTGTCCAAAGAGTGCTGGCCAGACCCCAGCCAGTGTTCCAGTGAGCGTGTTCATTGAGGGGACAGGGCATACTTCCAGGGAGATCACAGTTTCATAAATCAGACAGAGATAACTGCCAAAGTAAAGTGTCATGACTAAACACACTGAAAAACACTGGGAACTTCTATACTAAGTATTCAACAAGTCTGTTCCTTACATGTGTTAAACAAGATTGCATGGTATATAAGAAAAATAACACTTCTACTGTACCAGTTTGGTTTTATGGTTATGATAACACATCAATTGGCTGGAAAGACACAGCAGAGAGTGATAGAAAGAAGACAGAATCTATGGAACTTCCAGCTTTCATCCTCCTCATCCAATTTAAGACAAGCACATAAAGTGGGAGCTGTGAAGCAGCCTGCAGAGGCAATAAGAACCTGTTGGAACAGGCCTAAGCTGCAACAAACAGCATCCTTCAACATAACACCACCTCTGTGCACTGTGGGAACAGCCTGGGAAAAGTCTATCTAAACTACACCTTCCTCGCCTTGGACAGAACCTACAATACTGTAATTGTCTAAATAAGGAAATAAGAAAACTGAGGCTCAGACAAAATCACCTCTACTGACTTTTTAGCCAGGGAAAAGAAAGAAAATGGGAATCTAATCAGCAGAGGATCAGGCTCTTGCCATTCTGACTGTGGCATAGATAACAACATTAGCTGACTATGGAACTCGTGTACCTTCTTTTGCACCTTTACAATTTTACAAATCTTGACTATGCCCCAACACCCATGTGCCAGCTTAATATGCACTGCACGCTAATATGTACAGTAAAATGCTGAAGCTCTTTGGGGGTGACAGAAAATGTGTTTTACTCTACAGCTGATTTATAGTTTGCCCCATGAATCTGTACAAAAGAAAAAAAACTGTGCAATGTTTTATGGAAAAAAATAAAGAAAGCTGGAAATCCCAGAAAGGTGGAAGTGTCTTTGGCCATGTTCACACTACAGGCTGAAGTGACTCAAAACTGATCTTTTTTGCCCAAATGTGACCCATATCCGATTTCCGTATGACAGTGTGAACAGCACAAATCCAATTTTTTCAAATCCGGTCCAGGCCACTTTCATACGTGGTCCTAAATCGAATACATATCCGATGTTTTGCAATGCGACTTCAGTCTGAACGGCCAGGTCGCATTTCATGCGATTTTTATGTCATTGAAATGCGACAGACATCACAATTCTGCGCTGGAGGAGGCGAGGCCATAAGCAATATTTGTGCTCTCCTTCTTCTTGATATTCTTCTTATCGTTATTTCTTTATTTCGATTGCACATTAACTGGTACATCGCTACGCACATGCTATCACGAGCCGCATCCATTTTTATTTTCACAAACACAGTACGCTGCGTCTGATGTCACCTCAGGGCCGTATACCATTCACACATGAGACAGATGGCAGTCACATTTAAATGACAGTGTGAACAACAGCGCAAAAAAAAAAATCGGATTTCGGCAAAAAATCCGATCTGAGCATTAAGACCTGCAGTGTGAACGTAGTCTTTGATCTCAGCTGCACTGCATTCTGCACCCACAACATGCTGCCAACATCCCATGCAGACACATTAAAATCAGATTGGTTTTAACTGGAGAGGAAAACAGCAATGGCTTTTCATTGGGTCTAATAAATCCTTATCAGTTATGACAAGCTGCAGCATCTGGCTCTCCATTCACAAAACCTCCCACACCTGGTAAGTGCAGAGAGACAAGGTCCTAAGGTACCTCAAATCTGTCAGCCCACTTCTTTGGAAACAGATGGCTCAAGCTTTATGGCCAGGGAACCTTAATCCACTCCTGAATCCTAAACATGAACACTGAATAGACTATAGACTTTACATTTGCAGGGTAATGTATACCATTTTAAAAATGCTTAAAAAAACACTTTTGATTAAATGGAAAGGTCTGCATGGGTATAAACATGATTTGCTCTACTGTTTAGCAGTGTTTGACGACACCTTGATATTAGAAATGCTGGAAGAACATTAGATGCCATACAGTAAATAATTACTGCAAAACAAAGCTGTCACCCAGCACACACCCACAAAATTTGGCAGCCTGATCCAAACCCGTTTTATTTTATTTTTTTAGGATATGTAAAAATAGACTGAAATCAAACTAACGTCACTACTGTAGGATTTTAGATATTCTGTCACCACATGCTGGGTGCTGACTGGGAGGTGTGGTACTGTGAGCAGCTCTTGGAAGGTTGCACTGTACTGGGACCCATGCTCACCACAGTATTTTAATGGCAGAGAGCAATAAGTACAGGTGTTAACATCATTTGGTTTGGCAGACAGTGGATGCTGTGTAAACTCAGTGCAATACCTTGTAAACATACCTTTGTATATACACTTACACACACATACACACACACTGTATATGAAAACTCCATCTAAATTGTGTATATACACATATATTTAAGTACTTTATTTTTATTTATATTCTTAATGCACATTCCTTGTTCTTGTTTGCACATTCTTTTTCTTTTCTTGCTCTCTCAGTCTTATATTCTTTACTGGTTGTCTTGTGGAACAACATTGTACATATATACAGAGCCACTGTACCACAGTCAAATTCCTTGTGTGTTCAACATACCTGGCCATTAAATCTGATTCTGATTCAGATTATTACTCTCCAGCTAGCACAGTCTAATCGTGATGGTACAGGGCAGTAGATCTACCAAACTACACTGCTTAACTTTATTTTATTTTTTTTTCAATACTATACTTTAGGAGAGTTTGGTTTTAAGTCCCTCAATTATCTGTTTATTTGGACAGTTAGCAGTAAAGCATGTTTTACAATGACAGGTCCCCCGAGACATTGTTATTAAAGCAAATTTTGTGTGCAAAAACACTGTTCAAGTCTGAGCATGGCAGTACATCCCCAACCACTACGTGGAAGTTATCATTCTGAAAAGGGAGCCTGGAGAAACCTTGGGCCCCTTGAAAGAGCTGAACAACTGATAACAAGTGCCCACCTTCACCACTTTAACTCTGTCCACTGAAAATCTGAAAGAATTCCCCTGGTTTTGGTTGTTTGGCGGTAAATGCTAAGGAAGGTTGGGGGCGGTCATACAAAGTAGATACTCTGATGACACCTTACCTGCATTAGTTTTCCCTCCGCGTATCCGGCACTTCCGCCCACAAACTCCCCTTCCAGAGTGATGGGTTTCCCTGTCGGCTCGTGCTTCAGCAGTGTCACCTTGATGACTGCTCTGAGGGTAGGCCGCTCGGACTCCAGGCCGGGCTGGCCCAGCACCACCTGCAGGGCCGCCATGAGCAGCCACGGCCAGAGACCGGCCAGGCGCCGCTGGGGGACGGTCATGGCCTTGGCTGTAGCGGCGGTGCTCGGCAGCACATGGTGGACTTTAAAGCAGGCAAGCACCGTGGACAAACAA